AGGGGGTGCACAGCGGGGCCTGGGCCAGCCCTTAAGGTGGGGGTGGGGGGGGAAGAATGCCACCCAGCTCTGCTCTGCCCCCAGTTTTGTCCCAGTCCCAGCCCTGTCCCCAGCCCGTTACATTCCTGGCCTCAGGCCACTGCTCAGACATTGGCCCTCAGTCCCTGCTTGGCCACCAGCCCCCATTCTCAGCCTCTGGCCCTGCTCCCTCCTGTGGCTCCAGTTCCAGCCCCCAGCCTGGCTGCAACTCTGCTTCCCGCCCAGGGGGTGCAGACATATTCCATTACGTAAGGTGGGGCACGAGAGGAAAAGTTTGGGCACCACTGATGTAGGGGTTTAGCCATGAGATTGGTATCTGGATGCCTAGAATGAGGTAGCAGTGTGCATGACCAGAGGCAGAAATATAGATGCCCAGAGAGCTTTTACAGCAAAAATTTTTAGGCACCGAATGAGTTTATGTACCTACAGGGTAAGATGGCAGCCAAGCAGGGATTTTGTGGATCACAGTGGTGCCTAAAACTGGGATTGAGAACAGTGTCTAAGTCCCTTTGTGGATCTGGGCCCTGACTGGCTTATACGAGTTAGTGGTCTCACTCTAGTTCTCAAAGGACAGATGTCACACTGGCACTATAATTAGTACATCATCAATATTCTGTGCAGGAAGACCAAAACCTGAATGGCTCTGCAGACTGATCTATTTTCAAGCCCTACAAATCATAGTATCTGGTGTATTGCTTAGCATGATGCCTCCAAACCACAGTAAAGACACATTGGAGATGAATACTGTTCTGTGCATAAATAGAGGATTTCAGTGCTCTGGGAACTCTGGACAAAACTTGTAATAGCTATATAAAAGCACTTCTAAAAACTTGGGTATGATAACTATGATAGAGCAGAGGTATTGATGAAGTGGATTAATTTCTTATGAACATGAATGAAGAACCATGTAGAACAGCACTGCTCACAATACTTTAAAATATATTTATCATAAAAAAAAACATGACCCAAAATTAATAAGATCTGGACTCTACCACAAGGAAGTGAACCACTGGTGTACTATGAAAGATAGACATAAACTTGAAGTGAAATTATAAAATATATTAGACCAGTGAAATTACAAATGTATATTAATCTATTTGACAGAGACAGAAAGCCAAAGGGGGGATATTACATGTATACAGGAATAGACCTCAACCTTACTGTTCTCCGTTACATAGTTTCCTCCAAAATTGTTCTAGTTCACACGCTCAGACACAAACACTGTAACAACCTGTTGAACACAAGTAAGGTTCCCTTTTAGGCATCAAGATGACCAACAACTGGCTTGTTCTGGTTATGATCTACCAGGAGACATGGGACATTTAATACAATTTAAAACATTTTCACCTGAAGGTTATTCTCTTTCCACTCCTTGGGAAAAATATACTTAATAAAATGGATCCTTCCCAGAAAATAAACACTCCACATATAAATATCAGATAAACACTTCTAGTCTTATTACTCAATTACTGAAAATGTTTCTGGTTTAGACATCCTATGATGTCTTCAGTCATCCCATGAAATTATAAAGTGTTTTGCCTTTATCTTCTTTGCCAAAGTTCAGGTAAATGCACTTGTTTTGTTTTGTCAAGTTTCAACCAACATTTCTATTTTTGGCACTCCATAACTCTTTATCAATTGTCTTTTAGAATAGTTCTCAAAGTGATTACAGAGTAAACCTCTTCTGTTACAAATTGACTCATGACTATACGGTAGCACAGTATTATTCTTATTAAAAATCTTTTGTGCCCTTTTTACCTATAAAAGGTTAAAGCAAACAAGTATACATCAAAACTTTTACTGGCAGGTTCATATAATGCTCCAGCCATAAATTATAACTTTACTTTTCTAACAGATTCTTCCAGGTTAGGAAAAACAGCAACCCTCTCCCACTGCTAATCATTATCCCGGTGAGGCTGCCCTTCTGAATGCATTTTGTATATGTCCAAGGCTTTAGTATGGTTACAGAACACACTATATATAAAATGAAAATATGTAGTAAGTGAGTTTGGGGACAACCAGATGAGTCCCCTCTCCTGGTTGTATTTGTCAGGTAGGTGGGGTCTTGTAGGTAAAGACATGCTTGTACAATATTAGAACAAATATATATATAAAACTATAAAAAGCCATCATATACAAATTTGATTTGTATTTTGAGATATATATAGAGAGCAATCCTATTTTCTGAAAAGAAACAACAAACTGCAGTAAACTGGATAAAGACTGAACACTTACTGACATACTGTGCTATATTTAAACCTTCTTTGGAAAGAAACTGAAAAACTGCAAATAGGCCTGAAGCCTTTCTATGGCTCCTGTCTTACCATGTACAGATTCTCCTGCGTAGGTATAAGAAGCGACTGACTTATCCCGGACACACACGCTTTGAGCAAGTCTGACACAGTGATGGGTTGAAGAAAGCTCTCAGTTCCACCACCAAACTGAAGAGAGATGACTAACATACCTCAGAAGCATATTACCCACTCTCTGGGCACTGGTATATCATCCCTTGCCAGAGATGACTCCTTGGTGGCACTCAAAAATACTTCAAGAGATTTGCATTGTATTTGAATGTACCAGTGGATACCATCTATCCTTCCCATGGGCTCAAGGTGAGTCAAGATACAATGCTACCAAATTACTGGTCTCCCTGTGTCCTGCACCCATGCTACAGGTCAACGCCACTCACCCACCAAAGGGACACTTAAGAGGTTGAAATAGGTGTAGCAGTTGTGGCACTGGGGCAGGATGCAGGCACCTACCTGCCCCAGTGACTGGGGCAAAAACACTGTGGATGGACACCACAGCTATAGGCTTGGTCATCCCCAAGCCTAAGGTTGCCAACTTTCTAACTGCACAAAACCAAACACCCTTGCCCCGTGCCTTCCCCGCCACTTCTCTAAGCCCCCCGCCCCCTACTCACTCCAGCCCCTGCCTCAGTCACTCGCTCTTCTCCACCCTCATTTATTTTCACTAGGCTGAGGCAGGGGGTGGGAGTGCAGGAGGTGGTGGGGGCTCCAGGGTGGGGGCAGAAATTAGGGATTCAGAGTGCAGGAGGGGGCTCCAGGCTGGGGTGGGGGAGCAGGCTCATAAGATTGGGGAGTGTGAGGGGGTGCAGGCTCTGGCTGGGGCTGTGGGCTCTGGGGTTGAGCTGGAGTTTAGGGGTTTGGAGTGTGGGAGGGGGCTCCGGGCCGGGAGAGGAAGTTCAGGGTGCAGGCAGGGGCCCAGAGCTGGGGAAGGAGGTTGGGATGCAGGCTCAGGGAGCGAGTTTGGGTGCAGAATGGGGCTCAGAGCTGGGGTGCAGGAGGGGGTGTGGCCTCCAGGAGGAAGTTTGGGTGCGGGGTGGGTTCTGACCTGGGGCAGGGGTGTGGGCTCCAGGAGGGGGCTCAGGGTTGGGGTTGGGGCAGGGGTTTGGGGTTCCGAGCTGGGGCAGGGGGCAGACTCCAGCTGGGCTGTAAAAAGAAAAGGAGTACTTGTGGCACCTTAGAGACTAACCAATTTATTTGAGCATGAGCTTTCGTGAGCTACAGCTCACTTCATCAGATGTATACCGTGGAAACTGCAGCAGACTTTATATACACACAGAGAATATGAAACAATACCTCCTCCCACCCCACTGTCCTGCTGGTAATAGCTTATCTAAAGTGATCAACAGGTGGGCCATTTCCAGCACAAATCCAGGTTTTCTCACCCTCCACCCCCCCACACAAATTCACTCTCCTGCTGGTGCTAGCCCATCCAAAGTGACAACTCTTTACATAATCAAGTCGGGCTATTTCCTGCATAGATCCAGGTTTTCTCACATCCCCCCCACCCCCATACACACACAAACTCACTCTCCTGCTGGTAATAGATCATCTAAACTGACCACTCTCCAAGTTTAAATCCAAGTTAAACCAGAACATCTGGGGGGGGGGGGGGGGTTGGAAAAAACAAGAGGAAACAGGCTACCTTGCATAATGACTTAGCCACTCCCAGTCTCTATTTAAGCCTAAATTAATAGTATCCAATTTGCAAATGAATTCCAATTCAGCAGTTTCTCACTGGAGTCTGGATTTGAAGTTTTTTTGTTTTAAGATAGCGACCTTCATGTCTGTGATTGCGTGACCAGAGAGATTGAAGTGTTCTCCGACTGGTTTATGAATGTTATAATTCTTGACATCTGATTTGTGTCCATTTATTCTTTTACATAGAGACTGTCCAGTTTGACCAGTGTACATGGCAGAGGGGCATTGCTGGCACATGATGGCATATATCACATTGGTGGATGTGCAGGTGAACGAGCCTCTGATAGTGTGGCTGATGTTATTAGGCCCTGTGATGGTGTCCCCTGAATAGCTGAAAAGCTGGGCTGTGCTTACCTCAGGCAGCGGCACATCAGGGCTAAGGCAGGCTCCCTGCCTGCCCTGGCTCCATTGCTCTTGGAAGCGACTGGCATAACCGGCCCCTGGTGGAGGGGCCAGGCAGCTCTGCACGGTTCCTAGCCAATGAGAGCTGTGGAGCTGGCACTGGGGCAGCACGCGGAGCTTCCCTGATCACCCCAGTCCCTGCGCCTAGAGGGAAATGCCATCCGCTTGCAGGAGCCGCATGGAGCCTGCCTTAGCCTGCCTAACTGGACTTTTAGCGGCCCAGTCAGTGGTGCTGACTGGAGCTGCCAGGGTCCCTTTTCGACCAGGTGGTCTGGTTAAAAACCGCAGGGCTGGCAACCCTACCCACGCCAGCACCACGTTTAGTCCCCGTGAGTGAGGGACGCCACCTGTGGGGCTCTTGCTTTTAGAACAAATTACTACAAAAGCGCACAGTGGTTTTTAATCAAAAAAGAACTACCAAGAAAATAAGTCACAAAAAATGGACATCAAGGCAACGCACCCTACAGCGAGCGCGCCGCTGAGCACAAGGGCCACAAGTGCTTAGAACGCCTCTATTTATAGCTCCCTCTCAAAAGCCCGCCCTACCTGCACTTCCTCCCGGCGTCACTTCCGGGGCAGCCCAAAATGGCGGCGGGGGTGGGTGACAGGGACCCGCTGCTACGGCTGAGACGCCACCTGAGGGAGGAGGTAGAGCCCCAGACGCTGCTGCTACAGCCTCCCCCCGGGGGAGTGGCTGGTAGGTGATTCCTGGAGCCTGTGGGGGGGACTCCCCCCTTTAACAGGGCGGGGGGGAGGGGTGGTGCGTGACCGCTGCCTGGGTGGCGCACGGCGCCTCCCCTTCTCCCCACGGCCTTGGGAGAGGAGGGCAAGGCGGGGCCCGCGCGCCCCGGTCCCAAGAGCCCTCGCGCGGGAGCAGCGGTGTCGGCTGCGGGGAGCGGGGGGAGGCTCCCCTGTGGAATGCGGTACGTGCGGGGGGGGGCGCCAGCGCCGACAGTCCCGCGGCTTTTCTTACAGCGTGCTTTTCCTGCAGCAGCTGGGGTGCCGGGCAGACGGAGCCAAAGGAGACCGGCAGGGAGAAGGAGCCTCCGGGCTGATGTGGGGAGGGGAGACGATCGCTCTGGGGCTGCCGGTGGCTGTACTAGATGTCTGGTCTAGGGGAGAAATTGCACCAATACTCTAGGAGTATTACACTGGAGGCAGCACTTTCAGCTCTAAGCCTGCCTTACACTTCCATTTTAGGGGTTAAGTGTGTCGTTTAGAGGTTTTTAATTGAAGTAGTGAACACCAGTAAAACCCTGGTGTGGCCCCTATTATACCAGTATAAATGTGGCTCATGCCAGTGCAGTTGTTAGTCTTCCCATAGGGGAATAAGTGGCTGTAGCATGCCCTGATATAACTATATCCATGGTGGTGGTGGTGGGGGTGCTGTGCTAAGGGGTGGTACCTCGAACTACACTTTCTCATGTGGACAAGCCCCTTGTGTGTGAGTTCCAATAGCTGGCCCTGTCTGTCAAGGTACATATTCTCTGCCCCTTATGCTAGCCCCCCCACACACACAGCTGCTGAGGAGAGTTTAACAGTACTTCCTTCTTGTGAATTTGTAGGTGTGTCAGACATCAGGTTGCGGTAATTTATTGTTATGAAGCTATTAAAATGTTCATGAGAGGAGGGAGAGTAGTGGGGAGGAAGACCTGTACCAAAAGTGAAGGACAAAAAAAATCAGAGGTCTCACACCCTTGTTGCAGAGGATCTCAGGAATACAAGAATCGGATCTCAAAGCAATGTTTATAGGCAGCATAAAGGCCCCTGGAACTGTGGACCAAAGGGGGTTGAGACAAAGGGAGGTTCCAAAGTGGTAAGTTAGGTAAATTGTGTCATAATAGATTTAGCAAATGATTATGCAAATCACAGAAAAATATAAAGTGAAATAAAATATATTACCATGGCAAGGGTGTTACTGAATGTTTAGTACTCGGGAAAAGAGAGAGGCAAATCCAGGGCAGTTATAAATTAATATGCTTGTCATAATAAAGGAGGCTTAAAATATATGAAATGTTCAAATATGCAAATATTTCTGCAGATACTCCCTTTAGTTTAGTTAAATGTATGTGTTTTGTTTAATTGGTCTTTCAACATCGCAGGTAAAAGAACATATATCCTTGCTTTCAGAACCACATGCTCCTTTGCCCTCACACTGATTCAGTCTGCTCTAAAATTTGTAAGGCACTCAGATCTTACAGTGAGAATTCTAGAAAAATCTAGATTTCCATGTAATCACTTTTTTACAGTAACTTAAGTTAATATTCTCTACGTATCAAGCTAGCTCCTGACACTGAAAACTTGGCATGTGACATTGGTAGGAAGACTATCTATGGGGAAATTCAGCTTGCAAACATCAGAATTAATGAAAATGGATGCAAAGAAATTAGTGTGTGGAACACTGGTCTTACCTTTGCATGTGTGTCTTTCATATCAAACAAATATATTCTTTCTTTATAATGATTCTTAAGTGGTTAAATAACCTTTTCAGCAATGTAAACAGCTCTTAATGTTTCTGGCAAGATACACAAACAGTGTATGCTGATTATTTTTCATCAAAAGGCACCTTGCTTAGTTTTTGTTTTTATTTCAGGAAATTTGCAGAACCTTTTTAGAATGCTTCCATTTTAATTCAAAATATTTTTATAGTGAATACATTAATCTCTAAAGAAGAATGAATTAGAAGGATTAAGTGTCCTATTTTATTTTAATAAAATGATGCTCCATTTACTGGTGGTTTATAACAGAGCAATCATGATTTTGTTTACAGAAGAATCTACAAATGTGGAGAAAAAAGAGAAGCCTCTTCCCAGACTTAATATTCACTCTGCATTCTGGATTTTGGCATCAATTGCTGTGACATACTATGTTGACTTTTTTAAAACTATCAAAGAGACCATTCAAGCAGATAGGTAAGGGACCCTCTTCTTAAAAAGAAAAGTTCTATGTATATCGTCAGTGTCATACACAAAACATGGTATTTCTAAACTTTGCATTATTGCTGTAGATTTCATCTTTGTGGTCAATTAAAAAGTTAATTTTTCCATGTAAGCTTAAAAAATTCTTCTTACACAATAACACAGGATCCAGTAATCGAATTATAGTACATTATTTTGCTATAGTGTATGGGAACAGAATTTAGAACTTGCTCTGTCTTTTGGTCCTATATTGGGTTACATTTTGGAAAGGACATACTGTGTCTTACTTTGGCTTTGCAGAAACTGTCTGTTTTTGGAAAATTCATCTGAGTTTGAAAGAAGTTAACACCATTAACCAAGGATGGCTTACTGCACTCCTTGAGAGTGAGGGAAAGGGAATTAAAATGTAAAAATGAGGGGATAATACCTGGATTTAAGATAGAAGTCAAAAGATTAAAAAGGTAATATTTATTTTCATTGCTATTTGTCCTATGGCATTAGTTTACAGAGCTAATGTATTTGTGGGGGGTGGGTTAAGTTGAAACCATTAACCCAAAACCTTCATTGGTTTTGAAGGAGCGAATTGAGGATCGAGTCTTTTAAGTATTTTATAAGGCCTCAGTTGTGCAAACACTTACATATGCTTAAACTTTACAACTATGGATAATCTATTGATATGAATGGGACTACCCATAGTAGTAAAGTGCATATTTTCAGGATTGGTGTCTGAGACTGCACACTCGTCAATAGAAGTACTAGTGTTATAGTTGAATTGGAGTAAAGATTTGTAGACCCTGTGCGGATACAAAATTTGTATCTGCGTCCAATCCGTAAACATGGTGCATGGATATCCGCATCCGCCAATGTGGCTATCCACAGATATAAAATGGATATCTGCAGATTTGCAGGGTTCTAAATATTGAGCTGGTTTGAAATAGGGGTAACACAAGTTATGAACTAATCTTTGTTGAGAAGTTTTGGGATATTGGAGAAATTCTAAAATTCTTGCCTAATATTATGTGAGCTAATACGTAAATTCCATATATTGCACGTAGAGCAGACACAGTCATAATAATTAATTTGTAGCACATAGTTTTCATTCATCGTGTGTGTGTCTTACTAGGTTATCAGTTTTGAATATTGCTGATATTTTCTGGGCTCTTTATGAAAATGGCTCTCATGGTGAGGAGAGGTGGCAAGCTTTTTTTTTTTTTAAATGAAGTAGCTGCTTCCAGTGGCTTAATCTTGTGCCAAAGATTATTCTACAAACATTGTGAATTTTACATAGACAGTTTTATGTTTCAGGAAACCAGATAATTGTTACTGATAAGCACTTCCTTATCCAGTCATTGGATTTGGTTTGCCTTGATTATCACTCATGTAACTTGTCTCATCCATGCATACACATAAGAACAGATTTAAAATCCATAAAACATAGAAGTTTTCAGAGCTGTAAAGTACTATTATGGTACTATAAAAAGGTAATGAAATTTAATATCAACTTGTCTTCTGATGTGTGTATTTTTTTTCTTTAAATTTAAAAATTATGTTTAGGATCAGATCAATAACTTTCTTCCTGAATAGAGTAGAAAGACTTGGAATGCACTAACACTTTTGCATTGTTTTCAGTTGGGCTGGTGCTTGATGAGTATTTTTGAAAATCTGTCCCCAAATGTGGTTGAGGGTCCGATTTTGTGCTGAGCTGTTCGGTCCCCTGTGATTTGAGAGTGCTTAGCTCCATGCAGAATAAGGTTCCCAGTGTCCCCTTGTCTCTACCAGCGCACATCTAAGAGCTTTGCTGCAACATTTCAGAGCAGGTGATCTCTTGAACAAAGACAATTGCTGTGCTGTCCTTTGTGGTTTAGTAAATTCAACTGAGGTGATATAAATTTGCTTAATTTGTAAAGTTGAGCATATTTGAACTCTATTTGGACATATCTCACCAGAAAATAATTTTAAAAAATAATTTTCTTCGAGGAGGTAAGAAGCCATCACCTATAGTCCATAATTTGTTAGCTTTCTAAGCTCCATACATGTTGAGTTCCATACACTGTTATGCCTGGATTTGAAATAATTTTTCCTTATGGTTTTGTTTAGCCAGTGTATTAAACTGTTTGACTCTATTAGAATCCTGTAATGAGTTTGCAGATGTGAAAGTTTATTAAGACATTTAACTAACTTTCCGTGTGAGAATGATCTGAGAAAATACTGTAGTTTAGGAGTTGAAAACAAGGTAATACTGTGTATTTAAAAAAAGAACTTTTTTCCAAGGGTTGCAGTACCGCAAAACTAAGTGGAGTTAAACTTTAGTTAATCCAGGAAGGCTTCTGTTTGATAATGTTCAAAGAAAAGCTCAGAACTTCACTTTATATAAAGAACTACATAATAAACTGTCATATGAAATACAAATGTAGTGGTTATCCTCTGGCTTGAGAATGTGGCCAAGTCTAAACAAAATAGTTTTGCCAATATAGCAATATCAGTAAGGGGGTGTGTTTAGAGAGGTTGTGTGTGGGGTTTTTTGTTTTTTTTTGTTTGTTTCTGATACATTTCTGTATCAGCAAAAGTCTAGAACAGATCCAGTTATACTGGCATAAAAATGCTTTTGGTAGTATAGTTTATTTCACTTTGATGATTTGGTGTAAGCTATACCAGCAAAAGCACTTTTGCTGGTATAAGATGGATTGGTCCATATAGCGATATGGCTAAATCTTTTCTAGTGTAGATCTGGCATGAGCCTAACTATATAGGACTCTTTGTTAGTCAAGCTTTGTCAACAGATTAACAAAGAATTATTCCAGTATATTTATACACTGCAAAGCAAAACTTCACTAATTCCCCCTAATTACTGAGACTTGTTGCAAGTAACTGAATTTTGTGAATTGTGATACGTTATTCTTGCTGTTATTATGTATCCTAAGATATGCTTCAGTACTTTCTTTGTTTTATGCAGATGTGTTGTATTTTGTGAAAGTAATGTACTCCTAGTAACATCAGCGTTTACTACCACACAATAAAAATCTATGAAGTAAGGAGCTACTTGTGAATTAGAGTGATGGATAATAACATGCAAACTGAAATTTGTCTGTATTTAATTTCTTTATTTCTTTGCAGTTGGTGCTTTGTCCTCGGCAGCTGTTTGTTGGTTGCAAGCTTAGCTATTGCTTTTTACTGCATAATATATCTAGAGTGGTATTGTGGAATTGAGGATTATGATGCCCAGTATCCAGTATTGATACCTGTCACAACTGCCACTTTTATTGCAGCAGCAGTTTGGTAAGTTAAAGTGCTGCAGAAATACATAAAACTTCTGCAAAACCTGAAGAGGGATTACCAATGGTAACACCAACAGGCTGTCTAATTTAGAAGTGCTATAGAATGGTCACTTCTGTAGATTTTGGTCAAGTCCAGTAATGTTACTCACTTCCATCATTTTTTGGTTGCATTTTCCTTGTATTGAAAAAGTGAATTCCTAACTGTTGGAAAGCTATGATTGCAGACTGGAACTGAGGCCAGTAATGGTCAAAATTGTATATTAAGTCCACTTCTAGGTGTGCTGGGTCTTCTATTTTTTCCAAGTGTTACGAAGATAGAAAAGTCCTTCACTACTTTTTGTTAAATTAAAGGTGATTGTTAAAAATAAAGCTGAGAAGATAAAGTGTATAACTGACAAGTTAGTTGTACACCGACAGTATTTAGTTTTGTCCTGTTTTCAAGGTGGCATCTACCTCAAATTGCCAGACTGCTGGTCAGTACAGATAGCTTTTATCAAACTTGCAGAATACTGCTTAAATAGAAAAATTTCAAGATATTTTTGAAGGATTTATAACTTGGCTCTTACCTAAATGCTCCAGCCTGATGCCTTGCTTTGTAAAATGCTAAACTCTTATTCCCAGTCTATAACAATTTTGCATGGATACAGAAAAAGAAATCTGCAAAACAAGAAGTTTGTGTATTCCAAGCTTCACTATTGCATGAGTTTTCAGACAGTGCCAGTAGGTGACCTTATGACACATCTGCTACAAAACTTGAGAACAAAAGGGAGGGTGAAAGAAGAAAAACGGTCACACTGGCTTAAAATTTCTGTTTTTGTTGCTTAAGTCAAATCTTATTCTCAGGTTATACAAGGATATCTTGGAGTTCTCTTGTCAGTTAATTCATGGTCAAGGCTGCTTAGCTGGATGATTTTAAAGCTTTTCATAATTGCCAGCCCTGCACACTGAACACTATCTGAAAATCAAATTGCTCATCTTATTTCCTACATAAACACAGACAATAAGAAGCCTTAAATTAAAAGTTCTTTATGCTGATGCCCTCTCTTCATGGCTGTAATATTTGTTGTATAGGACAATAATTAATAACTGTTTTGTTGGGAGGGTTTCTAGTAAACCAAGAATTGTGGCACAGGTGTGTAATAACATGGTGCCACTTCTATAGAGTTGTCTTCCACACCATAACAAAATTATTTGATTGTGTAGAAGAAGGGGAGAATTTATTACAATACTGACAGGTTTCAGAGTAACAGCCGTGTTAGTCTGTATTCGCAAAAAGAAAAGGAGTACTTGTGGCACCTTAGAGACTAACCAATTTATTTGAGTATGAGCTTTTGTGAGCTACAGCTCACTTCATCGGATGCATACTGTGGAAACTGCAGAAGACATTATATGCACAGAGACCATGAAACAATACCTCCTCCCACCCCACTCTCCTGCTGGTAATAGCTTATCTAAAGTGTTCATCAAGTTGGGCCATTTCCAGCACAAATCCAGGTTTTCTCACCCTCTGCGCTCCCCTTGCGCGCCCCCCCCCTACAAACTCACTCTCCTGCTGGTAATAGCCCATCCCACCATCAACCTCAGCCTGGTCCAGTCCACACAAGAGATCCACTTCCTGGACACTACAGTGCTAATAAACAATGGTCACATAAACACCACCCTATACCGGAAACCTACTGACTGCTATTCCTACCTACATGCCTCCAGCTTTCACCCTGACCACACCACACAATCCATCATCTACAGCCAAGCTCTGCGATACAATCGCATTTGTTCCAACCCCTCAGACAGAGACAAACACCTACAAGATCTCTATCAAGCATTCTTACAACTATAATACCCACCTGCGGAAGTGAAGAAACAGATTGATAGAGCCAGAAGAGTTCCCAGAAGTCACCTACTACAGGACCGGCCTAACAAAGAAAATAACAGAACGCCACTAGCCGTCACCTTCAGTCCCCAACTAAAACCCCTCCAACGCATTATTAAGGATCTACAACCTATCCTGAAGGATGACCCAACACTCTCACAAATCTTCGGAGACAGGCCAGTCCTTGCCTACAGACAGCCCCCCAACCTGAAGCAAATACTCACCAACAACCACATACCACACAACAGAACCACTAACCCAGGAACCTATCCTTGCAACAAAGCCCGTTGCCAACTGTGCCCACATATCTATTCGGGGGATACCATCAAAGGGCCTAATAACATCAGCCACACTATCAGAGGCTCATTCACCTGCACATCCACCAATGTGATATATGCCATCATGTGCCAGCAATGCCCATCTGCCATGTACATTGGTCAAACTGGACAGTCTCTATGTAAAAGAATAAATGGACACAAATCAGATGTCAAGAATTATAACATTCATAAACCAGTCGGAGAACACTTCAGTCTCTCTGGTCACGCAATCACAGACATGAAGGTCGCTATCTTACAACAAAAAAACTTCAAATCCAGACTCCAGCGAGAAACTGCTGAATTGGAATTCATTTGCAGATTGGATACTATTAATTTAGGCTTAAATAGAGACTGGGAGTGGCTAAGTCATTATGCAAGGTAGCCTATTTCCCCTTGTTTTTTTCTACACCCCCCCCCCCCCCCGACGTTCTGGTTAAACTTGGATTTATGCTGGAAATGGCCCACCTTGATTATCATGCACATTGTAGGGAGAGTGGTCACTTTGGATGAGCTATTACCAGCAGGAGAGTGAGTTTGTGTGGGGGGGGGAGGGTGAGAAAACCTGGATTTGTGCTGGAAATGGCCCAACTTGATGAACACTTTAGGTAAGCTATTACCAGCAGGAGAGTGGGGTGGGAGGAGGTATTGTTTCATGGTCTCTGTGCATATAATGTCTTCTGCAGTTTCCACAGTATGCATCCGATGAAGTGAGCTGTAGCTCACGAAAGCTCATGCTCAAATAAATTGGTTAGTCTCTAAGGTGCCACAAGTACTCCTTTTCTTATTCCAATACTGTTTTCAAATTTTTGTCTTTCAAGATTGGGGTATTGAGTCCTTAATCTTACTTCTGGTACAATATGCCAAATATGTGCAGGATATAGTATGTGACATTAGAACTATTTGTTTTTATTTCCAGTCTCAACATTGCCTTATGGCCTGTATGGTCATTTCTCACCCCTTTGTTGCTGTTCACTCAGTTTATGGGTGTTGTGATGCTTGTGTCACTGCTGGGATGAGTCACATAAGGTAACACATTTTTAAATATTTATGTACATCCACACATTTGTTTTTTGAATTACAATAACTTTCATTTGACAAACCAATTGCACTTTAACAAGTTTAGTCAATGTATCTTGTCTGTAAATTAGTCCTTATGCAAAATATGCAGTTTTTACATGCTGAAAACTAATCACTCCCCCCCACCCTTCATTTCTGAATTATTTTTCAACCTTCAGGAAGGAGCCAGGGTTGGAATTTGTTACATCTGTGTTGGTGCTAGTGGGATAGAGATGTTGGTAGGTGGTATATCAGTGTGTGTCTTCGTGGTGCTTTGGCCATAGTGCAGGAAAGAAATGTACTGCAGAATAGGATTAAGTGGCTTGTCAGGGAGATGGACCACTGATTGACTGAGGGTGGGGAGGTCTGTAGGTGAGTGCACGCTGTGCTGGCATTTATCTGGCTGAAAGGAGGAGTGGCAGCTACAGGAAGAGATGGGACTAAAAGCAGGAATTGCAAAGCATACTTTGTATAGAGCATTGGAGTAAGGTGGGACTATTGCTAGCCTCTTAAGAATTGAGTTCCTAATATGCCATTAACATAGCATTAAAATTAATACGTATATTGGCAAATATGCAAAAAACAAAGTCCCTAACTAAAATGTTACCTCAGTATCTGAGGGGAAAACTTGGCCCAAACTCTACTAAAATTCCCAATAAATGTGGTATTAGAACACTAGTGACTTGAGAAGAACATTGCAATATTTTTTCTTTTGCCTCAAGCAATATGAACTCTTCACTTGAACCTTTCATCCTGTGCATCTCACGTTCAAGGACAGGGCGAACTTTTAGGTTTCCTCCTCCATTTCTCCAACATACTTGTATATCTTATTTCCCATATTCCACATGCTCTGGTAACTGAGGGAGTTTTTCCATCCTTACCTAAAACATTGTCAGTCTGGATTGTAAGCAGTAGAGACCAATGAATTTAGGCATCAGGAACTTTTGGCCAAGTGGCTGAAACTTTATTAATCACAAAAGGATTACTTCTGGGGGCAATCTGTCCTAGTAGCAAAGGAAAAAGGAGAAAACTATTGACACCCATTTGTTACCATTTCTCCCCTTTCTTGATGCTCAAATCCAGAGCATTCCATTCCTAGGTCTCATCCTTCCCACTTAAACAATAGCCTTTCTTTGTTTGCAATCCAGAATGGCTTGAGAAACCACTAAGTCTCATGAGGTGGCTCATGCTTCCTGCAAGTGAGCCACCTTTTCTAAGGGAAAAGAATTTCCCCTTGCAGATTTGAGACCACCATCCCAGTAACTACCCTCCTGAAAAGGGGATCTGACCGGCTGTACAACCCAAAATTGTGATCCTCTGAAAGTAAAGTAAAGCAAACAAAAAAAATCCAAGCTGCACAACACAAAACCACGTATATCCATGTCAGTTCAGCAAACCGCTTATACCAGCTGCTGGAGCCAAGAAAGAGGCCCTCTTCTGTTTAGCCTGGCTCTTTATTAACTGCCCTGTGCAACAGACATCCGGATTATCCAATGGTAGCTCCCCTCCTAGAGAAACTGGTTCACTGGCTAGCTGACTGGTGTTACAGGGCATAGCCTAGTGGGTTAGCCTGTCCTTGGCTGCCCTCCGCTGCCTGCCCATCCTCGGCCCTGTAAACCCGTTCTAAGAAGGCCAGCATGCCTTTATGTGAACACAGCGATGAAGAATGTAATGTACTCCTTTCAGTTTCTGTCTCTAACTCTAAAGCTAACACATCTGAGATAACTAATAGTTCTGACAATATATAATGCTAGTTTTGCTTTCTTTTGCACAAAAGAGCTAAAATAATATAACTAATCCTTACTTTTCTTTGAGTTTCTAGGTGTCAAGAAATCTGCCTTTGCAAGGAGGTAACTAACTTGGTTCACTACACTGTGTGCAAACTTTAAATACTATGGATTCCTTGTGAACCTCTGCAGAAAAACATGGCAGTATTCTATTTCAGAACTTTAATATCACATTAAGAGTCTGATTCACATTTACAAAAGCAAATCAATTCAACATTCATGACAGTTCCGTCTGTCACTAGCCATGTTATTGTTGGAATTTGTAGGGGGAAGAGGGGTGCATGTGCTGCAATGCCCAGAAGCTACTAGGCTGACTTAAAGAACTGATCAAATTAAGGTGTCACTAAAGAGTCCTAGAAGGGTCTGTTATTAGTAGCAGATGTCTGGAATGGGAAGCGAGTTGGATAACATATCAACGTCAGCTATTCAGAAGAGATGAGAACTTTCAACTTGAACAACTCAAGTGAATTCGGAACATAACCTCTGAATTGTGTACTGAATTTAATGATGCAAACTCATCAAAATATAGTGCGGTATAAGTATGTGTGCAGTCTAATTTGAAATTGACTGGAAACTGTTGGCCCTACAAAATTTACACAAAATATTGGTTCCTTAAGCTTTGTATGTAAAGCGCTCGCTGTTTCAAATTATAAGGCAACGGTTTCCTTTTAAACTAAATTCCTGTGCTCTGTCATACCTTTTAAAAATGATAATTCGGAGAATCTCTGCTTAAACTCAAAAGTTGTGTAATATCTCAGCCAATAGCTTGTCAGTCAGTTGTTTGACTTTTTTATCAAAGTATAAATGCAGTAATGTAGAACCTATTTTAGTGACCCAAAACTTATGATCTTTCTATTTCTTGACCAAGTTTATGTATAGTATTACAAAGGTAGGTAACAAGCGAGGGATGTATTCTTAAATGCATTTTGTCTAAAAATAATAATCAGTTGACTTGGAAGTACTTGAGATTTTGATTTAAATGTTGTGCCACTTAACACAATTAAACCTTATTAATTCCATTTGAATTCTAAAAGTAATCCTACAATAGATGACAATTCTAACCCAGGCTTATACCCAAAGAGATGAGCTTCTGGCTGGCTGTCAGTTCAGTTTTTGTTTGTGTATCTTCTGCTAAATTATTGGTATTTGGAATTAGTGAATCAGGCTCAATCTAGATGGACCATGTTTATAAACTTCTGGTATGCCATATTTTATCTTTAAAGAAATATTCTGGTCTATTGCCTGTTACTGTACCTCCATTAAAATTTTGGGGCCAGATCATCTGCAATAGCAAAGAAGCCACAAGCAGGTATGGGAGGAGGCCTTCAACGATGGTGTAAACCTCACCTTTGCACACCCTTGATCCTGGTACCATTGTTAGCCACTTTAGTATCCCTGGCATAAATTGGAGCATCTCAAAAGAGTGGGTGCTACTAGAGGTTCCCCCTTTGCTGGTGTGACCCTCCTGTGGCTCTGTGACCAGATTCTGCCAGCACTGTGCAGCCATGCAGCAACAGAAAATATGCCCTATGCCTAGAAAAATTATTGATCCATAAAATTTTAGTACATATTTGTGTTTCTTTGCCACTTCAGACATGTACATTTTAAGATCTTTCCTAGACACAGTAAGTTATGAAAAGTACAAGTGCCACTTATTCTCTTGATTTTTGTTTGCTTCTCTGATACAAGATTTGGGGAATTAAATTGCACTTATTCACCATTCCTCCTCCCTATCTGCTGTTAAATTAATTTTGTGTATTACATGGAAGAGTGCCTATTAACCAGATTTCCCTTTCCTTTCTCATCAAGAAGGAAATCTACTATAAATTTAAAGGCAACTAGTCATGCAACATTGGGAATGTAAAACTGTTAGTTCATTTTGGTTGAGATTAACAAATATTTTTCTAGAAAACTACAGCATTTAATCACAGAGACGGTGTTGGGTAGAGTACTTAATGTAAGATACCACCAAAAAACAGGCATTTTAAAATTTAAGAATGCTTCAGCTCACATCTACTGTGTACTAAATTTATTCTTTGATTGTTACTTGAAATCTGAGATAGCAAACCAGCATATAACGACTACAGGAGGCTAAATCATTTAACGTGTATAAATTTTCATAACTCAAGCCATAAAATCAATACTAGTGCTATTTCCACAGTATATGAAGTGTTTGTCAACATTTAGAAGCTCATGGGACTAGCCATCATTCTGATAGGCTCTAATCTGTCTTAAAACATATTGCTTCATTTTGGAAAACATGTTACTCAAAGCATGCAACATAAGTGACCCATCAAATTAAAACTGGTGTTGTTTGAACTAGCTGGTACAATAAGTTGATCGCTTGAGTAAGTCTCTTTTAATTTTAACCTTGCCGATCTAATGAGAGCTGGAAATATTCTCAAATAATAAAAGGGAGACTTTCTGCAGGCTCAGGGTTTTCAACTTGTTTTAAAAATTCCTACAGTTTCTGCATGTGTGTGTATATATGTAAATTTGAGATGTATTTTGTTTATCATGATGCCTCAAATGTATTATTGCTCAGGTGTAGTAGTTCTGTCATTGTATACATCAACAACATGAATTGGTTCCTTTTAAATCTTGTATATTTGCATTAATAAAACACTATGCAGCACACTTAATTTTACAAAGTTTCTGACTGGAAGCTTTTAATAAAGTTTATATACAGATGACTGATTCATTTTCAATGCCTCATTCCTTAAACAATCTGATTATGGTGTTCAAGAACACAGTAAACATGTTGATTTGTGAAGCAGGTATGTTGTAATAATTGGGCCTATGAATTTACCCAATTATGAGCTCAACTGTAAAATAAGTGAAAGTTCATAAAGTGTTATAATAACCTATAACAAATGTTGGGGGAGTGGATGAAATTAATCCAAACAAAGAGGCCTACTGATATAACTCAAGGACCATGTTAAGATCATACCTGGCAAACACAAATGTGGGACCAGAAGAAATCAAGGGACTGAAATTGGTGTGTTAAAAATTAGGCCTATTTGGTTGGTATTTCACGTGTCACTCCCTTTTGAGGGCCTCAAAAAGCAACTTTGGGGGAAATGCTGGCTGACTGAAAAATAAGAGATGAGGAAGGAGTGAGCTTCCCCATCATTGCTGCCACTGCCACCATTTCCTGGAACCACCCGATCTTTATCCTAATCCTGAGAGATGTTCTGACCAGCCTGGGCCAGAGAGAGGGGGACAAGAGCTCGCCACACCTACCTGCTCCAGCTAAATCCTGCCACCACTTGGGGAGGAGGGGTGATGTGTGTGTCTCATGCGTACATGCGCGTGTTGCTTTATTTCTTCTTTTGTATCCCTCTTCTCTTTTCTTCTGTCTAAAAGATCTGTCTTAGCTAGTCAAGGCTACATATTTTGCAACACTGCTGTAAGTCTGTGCCCAGAAAGGCAGCACCTAAACAGCCTACTGCTGGTATAAGTTTGCCAGGTCTCAAGTGGTTAATAAAACCCTGTTTTGTGCCTGCATTTTTCCAGCAGTGAGGTTGCCCGTGAAAGTCAGAGGCAGAGAACCTACATTTTCTATCTTTGCCCATTCTTCTCCTTTCCCATGTGTGTCTTGTTTTGCCTTTTAGGAAATAGGATTGGACGTTAGCAGCGGCAGCAGCAGCAACTCCGGCCCATCTCAACTAACCTCTTTTCCCCAAAAAGGACAGTTATGGCCATCTGTAATGCCATGGGGGAGATGGTTTTTAAAAAAAAAAAGGGGGGGGGGAATTGAGAGGGATCTTTCTAAAAGCTCTCTCCTGCTAACTGGAAAGGGAAAAAAAGGTTGTTTAAAATAAACCCCTTATTAATACTCTACATTTTAAATGCTTTGACTATCTTTGCTGTACTTTCATTGAAGGGTAATAGATTTTTAATAGTGCCATGATTCTAAGCAGGCTAAGGGATACTGTTTTCAGAAATGACTCGAAGTTGATTGGAGTTAAATTTATGAAGTGTTCACTAACCAGCAGCCTCCAGGGCTGGACTGTCAAAACAGAACTTACACCTCAAGTTTGAGGTAACTCCCTCTATGACTTTTTTTACACCTAAATCATGATGAAAACTAGATTACAGCGAGGCATATGCTCGACTGCCTCCTTGAACTGGGTCTGGAATTCTAAATGGTTAGAATACCTGATTTACCAAAACTTGATTGCTAGCTTGTGTTGACAGACACTGAGTAGTTATAAATACTCTGTATAACCACTTGGGACAAATTCATTGAGGCCAGGGTCTTGCCCAACTGCAAAAGAGCTCTTCTGCACATGGACATGTGGAAGCCTATGAAATAATTGTCCTAGCTGCGCACCTATCTTGCATCTGTGTAGGTGTTTTGATAGGTACTGGTTGTCTACACATCATACAGTGAGAGGAAATATTGTTAAGACACTGGCTGTGAATGTCTTATTAAATTTTGGACTGTAAATGAAACATTTTAGAAGCTAAATTCTGCCACCAAGCATGGGTTTTTTCAGATCCACAGTTGTGAAAATGTTAGACTTTCATGACAAGCTAATAGATTCCAAGGCCAGAAGGGTATTCAGTCTGACCTCCTATATAATATAGTCCATAGAACTTCCTGAAGACAATTCCTTTAGAGTATATCTTTTTTAAAGTCAAAATCAGATTGTTTTGTTTTTTTAATTTGCCAGTGATGGAGAATCCACCATAGCCTTTGGTAAACTGTTCCAATAGCTAATTACCTTAACTGTGCCTTATTTCCATTCTGAATTTGTCTTTAACTTCCAGCCATTGGATCTTTTACCTTTTGGCTGCTAAATTAGAGCCACCTTCAAATATTTGTTCCCTATGTAGGTACTTACAGACTGTTTGAGTCACCCCTTAAACCCTCTGTTTCTTAAGCTAAATAGACTGAGCTTCCTGAGTTTCACTATAAGATATATTTTCTAATCCTTCAATCATTCTGCTGGTTCTCAGAATTTATCACCATTCTTGAATTGTGGAATGTACTCAATCTGAGTTGTGAAGAGTGCTGTACCCACAAAGCATCTGTAGTGTAGACAAGCCCCTGACTCTAAAATAGACAATAGCTGGACAGAATCACTTGGTATAACATTGAAGGGTGTGGAGAAAAAGGTGGTGTTTTGTGCTTAACAGGCAGGGTGTATTTATTAAACATTTAAATATATTTTTCTTAAATAAACATTTTAAACCTGAAATTGACAACCTGGTGTTAAGGCCTGCATTTACTATAATCTATTAAAATTACTTTAATAATAACTTCATCAGTAAGTCCTCTAACTTTAATGAGTTAAAGGGCGCTGATTTCTTTTAAAACTAGAAACAATCAGGGCTAAAACATCTTAACTTTTGATGTCAACAAAAGCTTTATAAAGGTCACAATGTAATTACTACATTAAGTAGATATGTTTTCATCCTTTATGATGGAGCGAATGCTGGTATTTACATTTTTCTCAAGTATTTTCAGTTTCTGCTGTACAGAAAAGCTTTTGTCTTATTTAATTTGGTTTCAGTTTAGCTAGTAGGGGCAGAGAGTATTTTCTTCATTTAGACTAGTTAATTCAAATTGAGAAACCAGTTGGGAGGTGAAGAAGCAGGAAAGCTTGTTCCCTCTTCCAGCATATGACTAAAGACCAGCTAGGAGCAGAGGTGGTCTAATTCTGAAAACTTGAAGGACGTGGGAACAGATTTTCAAAGGCATTTTTGTACCTGAAGATGTAGAGAGGTGCCTAATGTGACTTTCAAAAGTTCCTAAGCAGGTTAGGTGTCTGACTCGCGTTGAAATCAGTGGAAATTAGGCTCCTAAGCTGTTTAGGCACTGCAGCCTATGTCTTCCCAGGAATTTAGGTGTTGAGAGGCTCAGCTCCCTATATGATGCATGGGGATAGATAGGTACCTGGGAACAGGCTCTATAAAATCCAGCATGCTAGGTGGGGAACTGTCTAAGTCAGCCATTGGGACATGGAGACCAGGATGTGTGCTCTGCCCCACACCCAGGCTGGAGGTAAGCACCTCCCTCTGCTTGGGATCTACTGCTGTGAACCTACTTGAACTAGATGCCCAGGCTGCAGGAGGGTGGTTGCAAGTGGTGGGTCTTCTTTAAATTTTAGCCCAGTTTTAGAAAACTCAACTGGGACGTGGAAGACTTGGGCTCAGTTTCCCCACTCTGCCTGGTCTGGAGAAAGAGATGCCTGTTCAAATCCTTCTCTCTTACAAATGTGCTTGAAGCACTGGGCTAGGGGGTGTTCTGATGTGGTTCTCTGTTAAAGCTGCTCTGTGTAAATAATGAACAAGTCTTTGGAGTAGAGGAACTAGATCAGGGGTGGGCAAACGTTTTGGTCTGAGGGCCACATCTGGGAATAGAAATTGTAGGGTGGGCCATGAATGCTCACAAAATTGGGGTTGGGGTGTGGGAAGGGGTGAGGGCTATGGTTGGGGGTGGGGCCAGAAATGAGTTCAGGGTGTGGGAGGGGGCTCTAGGGTGGGGTGCAGGAATGGGTGCAGGCTCCAGCTGGGGGTGCAGGCTCTGGGGTGGGGCTTGGGATGAGAGGTTTGGGGTGCAGGAGGGTGCTGTGGGCTGGGATTGAGGGGTTTGGAGGGTGGAAGGGGGATCAGGGCTGGGGCAGGGAGTTGGGGCTTGGGGAGAGGCTCAGGGATGCAGGCTCCCAGCGGCGCTTACCTCAAGGGGCTCTCAGAAGCAGCGGCATGTCCCTTCTCCACTTCCTAAGTGGAGGCATGGCCAGGTGGCTCCGCACGCTGCCCCATCCGCAGGCACCGCCCCTCCACTCCCATTGGAGTGCTGAAGGGGGCCATTGGAGCATGTCGGAGCCAGAACGGGGCCATGCTGCAGCTTTCGGGAGCCATGTGGTGCGGCCCCCCGAGCCTGCGACCCAGCTAGAGTGCCGGAGCAGGGCAAGCCCCAGATCTCGCTCCCCAGCAGGAACTCGCGGGCTGGATCAGGCCTGTGGATCATAGTTTGCCCCCCGCCCCCCCCAGAATAGATCATGCATGTTCCAAGTGAGTGTCCTAACCAGCAGGCTTTGGAGTCATAGAATCATAGAATCATAGAATATAAGGGTTGGAAGGGACCCCAGAAGGTCATCTAGTCCAACCCCCTGCTCGAAGCAGGACCAATTCCCAGTTAAATCATCGAATTCCCAGTTAAATCATCGTCAGTCACTCTCTCTTTGGCCCAATGACTCACTAGAGTATTTATCCAAAGTGGAATGGCTTCAACAGGAGAGACTCAGAAAGACCCATATCAGAATATCCCTTAGCCCAGTGATAGGATGCTCAGAGAGGCAGGATTTGAACAGGGGTCTCCTACATCCTAGTTGAGTGCTCTAACTGCTGGGCTAAATTATAAGGGAGGCATCACTACTATCTCTTCTTGGATTTTGAAAGGGGCCCTGCAGGTGAGAAAGGTATTCCCCCACCTATCTCCACCAGCTTTGGGGCTTGAGTTGGGACTTAGGCATGATCTAGGTGCCTGGATGTCTGGTGTAAGGCATTATATGCATGCCCGGAGGCAGAAACTAAGGTGCCGAGGGAACTTTTATCACAAAATTTTAGGCACTGAGTGAATTTAGGGTTAGGTGGCAGCTAGGCAGAGGGATTTTGGATCACAGTAATGCCTAATCTTTGTGTGGATCTGGACCTGCATTTTTAGGTATGTAAATATCTTTGAA